TGAGGGGTACCTGCAATATCAAGAGTAGAGGGTTTTTCAGAAAGAATTCTAGGACTCTCTAAGAGCAGGAGCCCAGAAAGTTATTTTTGAGAAAAATTAGGTATGTGTGGGGGGTCTTCTACAGGGGGTTGTAGAGGATTTGGGAGACTTATAAGGGCAAGGTCAGGGAGGGAAATCTCTAGAAAAGTCTCTTAGTAAGGGAGGAGGTCTCTGAGTAGTGATCCAAGAGGTTCTGGGCAGGAGGGTCTCTGCGAGGGATTTCCACTGCAAATCTTAGGAGGGCTCGAGGGGGTTACGGGGGTCTCTGAGATGTGAGAGGGTCCTGAAAAACTGCATCTCAGAGGGGTCATGAAGAGAGTCTTAGGGTCTTATGAGGCTGTGAGAAGGATCTTTAGAAGGTTCACCTAACATAGATCTAGAAGGGGGAGTTTGAAGAATTATTTAAGAAGGGTTCAGAAAATATGACAGAGAAACTATGAGGGAACTTTTGGGGATCCTTAAACAATTTTTGGAACATGTGGCATGGGAAACATTTGGGATATGCAAAAGGGGTTTTGGAAGAGGCTCTCAGAATATGGGAGAAGGGTCCTCTGGAGATTTCAGGCAAATTCTGGAGAAGATTTTTAGAATAAGTGGAGGTAAGGGAGAAGGTCTCATGAAGACTGTGGGGGTACTTGCCCTCTAGAGTATTTCAGGATGTGAGATTTGGGGGATATAAGGTCTCTGGGGGAGATTTTTGGGATCTGTGGAAGGGTTCAAAGGGACATGTGAAGGAGGAGTGTGTATGGGAGACGGCTGCAACATGGTGGGGTGGGATGGGTCTTCCAGGTCAGTTCTGGGACTCTGGGGCCATTTCAGAGAGTCTCTGAGGAAAATTTTTTGGAACATGGAAAGATCTTCAGGGGAAGATAATCAGGACACATGGGGGCATTCTGAAGGATTGGGAGGGGGTTTCTGAAATGCAGGGGACATAAGTGGAAAATCTCCAAGGAGATTTCTGGAATGGGGGTAGGTGGGACGGAAAATTCTTAGGATGTGTGAGGGGGAAGTCTGGGGGAGATTGTTGGGATGTGCGAAGCAGGTCTCTGGGGGAGATTTCTGGAATGTACGGGGTCTGGAGGGGATTTCAGGAAGTCTTTGAGGGAGGTCTGAAGGGTTTGTGAGGGAGGCTGCCGGAGGAGACAGGGAGATACAGGCTGGGATACACGAGGAGGGGCCTCCGCGCAGTATTTGTGGAGACAGGAGGATGAGGGATCTGGGGCCAAAGGGCGGGGGTCTGGGAGGAAGGCTGTTGGGACACATGAAGGTCCCCGGAGAAGACGGTTGAAGCGTGAGGGGTGGGCTCCGCGGAAGCCTCTCGGAGCACCCGAGCGGGGTCGGAGGTTCGAGGGCCCCCGGAGGCGGGTCTGTGGGGGGTCAGGAGGAAGGTCCCGGCCCGGCCCCGCGGCGATCGGAGGTGTGGGGACGATTTCGGAGAGAAGCCTCTGAAGGGGCCCGGCGGGGAGATTCGGGGACGGGCGCGGGATTCTCCCGGGGCCCGGCCCGCAGGCCCGCGCTCCGCGCCCGCGGGCTCGGGTCCTGAGGGCGGGGCCGCCCGCGCGCCTGGGTCGCCCTGAGGGAGCCCCGCGCGCCCCGACTCGACGCCGCCCCGCGCCCGCCCGGCCGGCCCGAGACTCACCGCCTCGGCCGCCGCGCCGCCGCCGCCGCTCGCCTCCTCAGGCCACCGCCGCCGCCGTCGCCCACTCTCGCCCGCGAGCTCCTCCCTCTCCCGCACCGACCACCGCCGCCGCCGCCGCCGCGTCGCGCTGCGTCACGCGCCGTGCGTCACCGCCCTGGCCCGCCCCGACGGGGCCGCCGCGCGCCGCATTAGCCTGTGCCCCGGTGACGAACGGCGGCAGCCAACGGCGGCGAGGGCAGCCCGAAGGGCGGGAGGTGTGCGCCGGCAAAGGCGGGGTCCCGGCGAGGAGGGGAGCGACGGGGGTGGAATGGGGCCCTAGAGGCCCGCCCCCTCCTCAGTGGGATTGGCCGACCTGGGGGTGACGGGCAGTCGGCCAGGCCCGGACTCGGCCGACGGGCGGGGAAGGGAGGGCGCGCGCGGCGTTGCCCAGGGCAACGGCCCGGCGGAGCCTGGATTGGCCTCCAGGCCGCAGGGGCAGTGTCGCGCCCGTCTACCTCAGCTGCCCCGAGCTAAGTCACAATTCCTTATTCTGGCGTTCAGGCCTCTCTTCCCCACCCCTCTGACCCGCCCCACCGAGGACTTTGCCCGGCTCTGTGCCCGGCCGTCCAGGGTGGGAGTCTGCACTCAGGCTCCTGGGATCTCAGTGTTCTCTGCTCGCCACTCTCCGAGACTGCTGCTTCCTCTCTCAGGGACCAGCGAAGCGAGACTACGCTTTAGGACCGAAAGGGAGAGTGCATGCAAAGCGCTCGGCACAAAGCAGGCCGTCAATAAATGGGAGTTGTTGCTATGACTTGTCGCGCTTTGGTCATTCCACAAACTGTCCTGCATCAGGATGAACTAATCAGAGGGGGACCCGCACGCAATCAGGCTGGGCTGGTGGCTCATGCCTGTAATCTGGGCACTTTGGGAGGCAGAGGGAGATTGCTTGAGACCAGGAGTTGGAGACCAGCCTGAGCAACAGCGAGATCTGTCTCTACCAAAAAAAAAAAAAAGGAGAAGAAAGAAAGAAAAATTAGCCAAGCCTGGTGGTGCACGCCTGTAGTCCCAGCTACTCGGGAGGCTGGGGCAAGAGTATGGCTTGAAGCCAGGAGGTTGAGGTTGCAGTGTGTTATCATGAGGCTACTGCACTCTAGCCTAGGCAACAGAGTAAGACCTCGTCTCAAAAAAAAAGAATTGCAGTCAGGGCAGAGTGTCAAGTTCCAGACAGTGAGTGATGAGAAATAAGCAAAGGCCAGATGTTTGGCCTATATATAATATATATAATATATATAAATATTATGTATTTTGAAACAGGGTCTCGCTCTATCACCCCAGCTAGAGTGCAAAGGCATCATCGTGGCTCACATTGTAGCTCACAATCAACCTCAAACTCCTGGGTTCAAGTGATCCTCCTGCCTCAGTCTCCCGAGTAGCTGAGACTACAGGCACGCACCACCCATAGCTTATTTTTCTATATTTTTGTAGAGATGAGGTATTGCTCTTGCTCAGGCTGGTCTCTAACTCCTTACCTCAAGCAATCCTCCCACCTCAGCCTCTTGGGATAACAGGCATGAGCCACTGCACCAGGTCAGGTTCTGGTTATGTTTTGAAGTCCAGAGTTAAGTTCTGATGTGCATTATAAGGAGAAAGAGAAGTGTCTATGAGGATGACCCTAAGACATGCAGGTGGAGATGTCAATTTGGCAGGTGGATGGAAGAGTCTGGAGTTCAGGAGAGGCACAGGCTGGACAAGCAATTAGGGTCTCCCCTTTACAAGCCTGGACGAGATCTGGAAGGGAGTAAGGTAGATGGAAAAGAGAAGGGGACTGAGTACTGAGCCATGGGACACTCCAGTGTTAAAAGCAGGAATGAGCAAGAGAGGCTGAGAAGGTACATCCAGGGGAGTAGGAAGAAAACCAGGCAATTGAGACATCCTGAAATCCAAGTGAAGAACACGTTCCAGGGAGCAGGGGGTGACAGAGTGTGCCGGGTGCAGCCGACGGGGGTCATTGGTAACCCTGAAGAGGGCATGTCGTAGAGGGGCGGGGGTGAAAGGCTGGTTGAAGAGGGTTTAAGAAAAAATTAGGATGAGCCATTGGACGCAGCAAGTGTAGATGATTCTTTTGAGAAATTTTGCTGAAAAGGGAAGGAAATGAATGAGTATTGCTGGATGGGAGATAGGGATTTTAGTTTTTAAGATGAAGTAAATAACACTGCGTGTAGGCTACGGAGAAAGATCCAGTAGGTAGGACACAGTGGGTAGCAGTAAAAAAAAAGAAAAAAAGAAAAAGATCCAGTAGGCATGGCGCCATTGGCGGTGCAGGAGCGAGGAGGAGAATGCCCTTCAATAGAGGAGGGGTGGCATCTGGGGGACATACGGGGTGGCCCACTGTGGGGGCATGCACGAGGCTCAAAGTGTGTGGCTAGGACCCTGTGAAAATTCTCTTTTGTTTGCTTATGTTTTCTCGCAGAAATATATATGGTTTTCTTATAAACTCCTTTCCTTTTATTTCTCCTTTATATGACAGTTAGGACATTATATTGACTTTTTTTTGAATTTATGTATGTAAGTAGGTTACATTATCTAGGAATTTTATTTCAGGATGAGAAAGGGGGCAATATGAAACACTCAATAAAAAGGGGACACTGCTCTGACACGACTGAACTCCATTGTCGCAGGGCTTCCTAGGCAACGGCAAAGCCCGAGAAGCTGAATAAGTGCGGGAAAAAGTCACTGTTGTCCAGGCGGTGTGGAGTTGCCTGTCTGGTCTCCCTTCTGCCACCAACATAATGGATGGCTGTTTGACCAGCACAGACTCTAAACTCCCAGTTTTCCACTCTGCAATTCAAATATTCCAGTTGGAGCCAGGTGCAGTGGCTCACGCCTGTTATCCTAGCACTTTGGGAGCCCGAGGCAGAAGGATTGCTAGAGGTCAGGGGTTCGAGACCAGCCTGAGCAAGAACAAGACCCCATCTCTACAAAAAATAGAAAAATTAGCCAGGCCCAGCTACTCAGGAGGCTGAAGCAGGGGGATCCCTTGAGCCCAAGAATTGAGGTTGCAGTGCGCTATGATGATGCCATTGCACTCTAGCTTGAGCAACAGAAGCAGATTGTGTCTCAAAAAAAAAAAAATATTCCATTTGGGTGTAAATCCAGGAAGGCCTCCTGGAGGAGGGGAGGAGCTAAAGAGCTCATTATTAACATCTTCTGTTAATTGCACGCATCCACCATCATGAGAGCTACACAAAGCTATTTTTATCCTCAAAACAGTCTCGAATCCGAGGGGTGAAGTTACTTGGCGAGGGTCACACAGCAAGGCAGCTTTCGAACCCTGGTCTGAGCCATTGCAAAGCCTGACAGGTCCTGGAAGATGAGGGGAAGGAAGGAGGGGGAGGAGCCCTCGGTGACAGTTGTCTCAACGGGCATAAACAGGATGTGGTGTTGCATGAAGCCTTCCCCCTACTCCACAGCCCGCCCCCCTGCAGCCCTGGTCCCCACCCCTAGAAGACTGCGGAACTGGGAAAAGAAGAGGCCTGTGGACAGCAGAGCCATGGTCAGGGGCCAGGGGTCATGTGGAAAGGGCTGGGCTGGGGCTGGGAGGGCACCTGGGTGAAGGTCAGGCCGCGGGATGAAGGTCACAGGCTGGGAATGTGGGAAGGGGACCCAAGCGTGGCAAGGGGCCTGGCCGGGTGAAGACAGATATGGTGGCTCTGGGTTTAAGGCCCAGAAAGCGGATCCCTGGGTCTCCTCGAGAGTTGCCCAAGCTGCGTGCCCAGGGGAGGGACAGCATCTGCTTTGGGGAAAGGGCGTCTTTCCCTAATGTCCCCAAAGGCATCGGATGGGCTCACGTGACCCTGCGCTTCATTAGTGGACGGAGAAACTGAGGTTTGGGGACGAGGCCAGGCCAGCTCAGCTCTCACTGGCTTCCCCCGACAGTCTGACTCCCTGGTGGTGTGCGAGGTGGACCCAGAGCTGAAGGAAAAACTGAGGAAATTCCGCTTCCGAAAAGAGACGGACAACGCGGCCATAATAAGTGAGTGACATCTTCCCCCAGGGAAGAATGAGGGGGGTGGGGACAAGCAAGGAGGGTGGGGCTCGTGTCTCCCCAATGGGGGGGGACGCATCTAACCCCTGGATGTCACCCCTCTGCAGTGAAGGTGGACAAAGACCGGCAGATGGTGGTGCTAGAGGAAGAATTTCAGGTGAGGGGCTGGGGTGGGTGGGACCTCCAAGAGGCACACGGTGGGCTGGGAGACCCAAGTGGCTGGAACTGATGCTAAGAGCCTGGCATGGGTGACCAGAAAGACCTGGAGACCAAGTGCCAGCTCACTTGTGACCCTACACAAGAGACTTCGCCTGTGTGTTTTCATTTTTATGAAAACTGATCTCTTAAGACTTTCCATCTCTGGGTCTCTAGGATTTTGAGCCTCAATATCTGACTCTGTGTCCTCGTCTCTGAAATGGGGAGAACAGTCCCTACCTCCCGGGGTTGTTTGCAGACGCAACGATTTAATCCCTGGAATGGGTTTAGAACAAGGCCTGGCACATAGTATATGCTCAATAAAGTGATGCTGGTGATGACAATGATTATTATCATATTATTAGAATACATTAATGGCACTTAAATGAAAGAGTTTCCAGGTAAGTTAACAAAATGCAAGCGGAAATCATTTATGAAAGGGTAGACCTCACCCTCTCGTGGCCTCAGCATCTTTATCGGCACGGTGGGGATGATAAGAAGGTTTACTTTCTAGTGCCGTGGAAGGACATATGAGTGGGTCCATGGAGACTGAGGCTGGGCTTTTGACAAGGGAGGGCGATCGGCTAGGAGCTGGGCTTCTTCGGGCCCTCTGAAAGGAAGTGACCATTTCACCATTTTAACACAGATCCAAATCCAAATGCTGCTGCTTAGTACCTGTGCAACCTCGGGCAAGTGCCTTAACGTCTCTGGGGCTCAGTTTCCTCAGCTTTCAAGTGAGGACCCACCCCACAGGGTTATGAGAGAGTTCAATGAATGAATCCACTTGCATTTCTTAGAGCAGTGCCTGGGTGCATAGTAAGTGCTCACTTAAAAGCAGTCATTCCTTTCCTCCTCTCCTGTTTTCTTGCCTCAGAACATTTCCCCGGATGAACTCAAAATGGAGTTACCAGAGCGACAGCCCAGGTATCCTGGGGGACAAGGGGGTGTATCAGGGCATGGGGGCAGCAGTGACGCTGGAGGTACAGGCTGAGGGACTGCTCGGAACCAGCCTTATTCATGGCTTTAGAATCTCTGTGTTCGGGGCTGAGAGTTTGTACTCCTGAACTTTCTGTTGGTATGGTAACATTTTATCACAGAATTTTACACTGATCATTTATATATGATATTGCTTTTGAGTTTGATTATTTTTGTACAAACCTTAGCAGGGTTTGGTCTCAACATTACACTGGTTTCATTTATTTATTTATTTATTTATTTATTATTTTTTTTTTGCAAACAGTGGTTAGGGCTTTTTGGAATTTTTTTTTTCGGCATATTATGGGGGTACAGATTTTAAGGTTTCAATAAATGCCCATTTCCCCCCCCTCCCCCCACAAGTCTGAGTCTCCATCATGACCATCCCCCAGATGGTGCACATCTCACTCATTATGTATGTATATACCCGCCCCCCTCCCCCCTCCCACCTGCCCAATACCCTATTACTGCAGTACCTATGTGACCACTTAGGTGCTGTTCAGTTAATACCAATTTGCTGGTGAGTATATGTGGTGCTTGTTTTTCCATTCTTGGGAAACTTCACTTAATAGTATGGGTTCCAGCTGTATGGTTTCATTTTTTTTAAGATGAAATTTTCCTTCTTTTTCAATATTCAGGAACAGTTTAGGTAGCAAAGGAATCATCCAGCCTTTGGCGATTAGGAAAATCCTGTGTGAAGCCACGTGGGCCTGGTGCTTTTTTTGGTGAAGGGCTCTTTGACCATTTCTATGAAAACTGTTCTGTTAAGATTTTTCATCTCGACGGAGTTCATTTTGGGTCTCTAGGATTTTCCGTTTTTCCTTTTTTAATTTCTTTCTATTTTTAGAGAGACGGGGTCTCGCTCTTGCTCAGGCTGGTTTCAAACTTCTGACCTCGAGCGATCTGCCCGCCTCGGCCTCCCAGAGTGCTAGGATTACAGGCGTGAGCCATGGCACCCAGCCTGAACCCGGCTGGGATTTTAAACCTCGATCTCAGGCTCTAGGACTCAGCTGGGATCAGCTTCCCCGGCGTATGACAGTTATACAGGGCCCCACGTGGGGGTTAATGCTGACATTCTCTATATAATAGTTTCATCCTTGAATTTGCATTTTACATGAAGTCCGATGGGACGACGGACAAACGTGCCGGGAGCTTGGGGCTAGGCTCACACATAGTCCCACCTCCTGCTGCCTCCCGGAGACTCTTCAGCCAGTCACTCTCTGACCCTGCCCAGTGACTGCTGCTGTCCTCAGGCCCCCCGCTGGTGTGGGGAGGGTCAGGACCTAGTGTGTACCCTCTGCATGACAACTTATAGGGTGCTCCTGTGAGAGTCTGGACACCCCCTGCAAGGATCCCCATGCCCCTTGCTTTTTTTGAACAAGGGGCCCCACATTTTCATTTTGCACTGGGCTTGGCAAATTATGCAGCCATTTCCGGTCATAGCTGAGTTCTAGTTCACCGGACAGTATTGCGTAGTGGGTGAGCACTTATGCTTCGGTGCTGAATTTTCTGGGTTCAGATTTCTCCCTCATCCATAGAACTTCAGGCAAGCAACTCTGGGCCTCAGTTTTCCCATCTGTACTATGGGAATATTAATAGCACCTATTCCATAGGGTTGTTGTAAGTTAAATAAACATTCACTATTATTATTTTCAATCGTGTATTCTGTTGGAGGCCAGCACCCCAGGTCCCAGGCATTGACCTTGGGTTCTCAGGCTCAGTCAAGCTTTCAAGGTTGTGGACTCGGGTCATGTCATGGCTGTTGGTCTTGGGCTCCAGGCCGAAGTCCTGAGTTTGAATTCCCTTTCCCTGGTGTAGGTTCGTGGTTTACAGCTACAAATACGTGCACGACGATGGCCGAGTGTCCTACCCTTTGTGTTTCATCTTCTCCAGCCCTGTGGGTGAGACACAGCTCTACTGTCTGGGGGGGGTGGTGGTGTCTTCACTTCGGGGTGGGGGCGTAAGTGTGACTTCGGATGTGTACAGGCACCTGAATTAGAGTGTGAGCATGTGACAGTGTGTGTGTGTGTGTGTGGCATGCGAGGTAAGAGACATGGAGATGGAGAGAGACTCAGAGTCACCGAGAGTCCACCTCAGTCCTGGGCCGTAAGCCAACCCACCTTTTCCTTTTACCTAGAAATCCCTGTCTGGCCTCCAAATCATCTCCAGAGACCCTCAGAATAACTTGAAGCCCCCAAATAAACCTTGGCGTTCTGAGTACAGCGCAGGGACCACCTTAGAACAGCTGCTAGGACTCTTAAGAAGCTGCAGGGCCTGGCAGGACATTTCTAGAGAACGTGCCTGGGCCCCCCACATTTGCACCCTTCTCCTGTTTTCCACGCAGGCTGCAAGCCCGAGCAACAGATGATGTACGCGGGGAGCAAAAACAGGCTGGTGCAGACGGCAGAGCTCACGAAGGTCTAGGCTGGGGCAGGCTCCGGAGCGTGAGGCGGAGGAGGGGGTGTGGGGGCCTGGAGTCCTGGGTCTGAAGGAGGAGGGGGCCGGAGCCCTCACTGTCCCAGTTCCTGAGTGGATCATAACGCTGAGACCTCTTTCTGCCCAGGTGTTTGAAATCCGTACTACCGACGACCTCACCGAGGCCTGGCTCCAAGAAAAGCTGGCTTTCTTTCGTTGACGCCCCGGGCTTGGTACTTGAATTCCTGATGTCTGAGTTCCCAAGGGGACTGGGGATTCGGACCCCTAGGACCTGAACACCCAACACCATAAAGAAATTAAAAATGCAAGAACTCAGAGATCCTCGGTTCTGGCTGGTTCTGTTTCTGCCCCACCTTGGGGGCTCTAGCCCGCAGTCCCTGCAGTGCCAGCCCTGGGCCGGCAGGGGGCGGGCGGACCTAGTGAAATGCAAGCCGGGTCTCCCCGAGGACAGGAGGGTACCTGTTCCTCTGGAAAAAAAGGAGGGGCCTGGCAGGATTTTCTGGGGTGGGGAGTGAGGCTGTCGAAGGAGATGGGAGTGGCCTGGGTCTGGGTCTCCTGGAGGAATTGGGGGAATAGCTGCATCCAGGAAGGGAGGTCACTCCCAAGGGGAATGAAGGAGACAGAGTGCCTGTTTCCCTCCTCGCCTCCCTCCCCAGCGGGGCTCGCAGGCATCAGCCGGCACTTAGCTGAGCCCCTGGGTAGGAAGAATTTAGGGCCGAAAAGGATCTAACATATTTGCTTCAGGGGCTTGGGAGTTGCTGAGGATGGATGGCTTGGGAGGCTGGGTCTGTCTTAGGGCCCAGGGCTGAGGAAGATGAAGAAGACCCAGGACCCTCAGTGGACCCCCGACAGCTTTGAACTTGAGGAGGCAAGGAAGAGACAGCTGTCCCCATTCTAGAGATTCTTCTTTCCTTGCCTCTGGCATCTCTGGGCATTGAACTCTCCCTCGGGCTTTCTGTCTCTGTCTTTGAGGGACATAGATTGAGCACCCACAGCGTAACCAGGCTGGGAGAATTCCGAGATGGGCAGGTCTTCATGGAAGTGAATCGCACTCTTTCTGTCCCTCTGCTGCTCCTCCTGTCTCTGATTGTTCTCTGTCCCTGGATTCAGGAACCTGGGAACTCTCCCCCCCCCCCGCCCCCACCCCTTTCCAGGTTCCTTGTAGAGAGGTGGCTGTTGCCATGGTAACAATGACACAGTGACCTTGGGCCTGGGCTGCCCCTCCCCCAACCCTGGCGTTCCTGGAGGGAGGGTCCAAAAGCCCAGATCCAACCCCCACTGGCAGCCATAACACACCATCCCCTCACCACCCCACTCTGCCCCATCTCTTGCTCCCTTGTCTCCAAGCAGGACAAGCTGCAAGAAGGATTCAGGATGGAATCACGCTACACTGGGCCATAGAGGAACTCCCCATGCCCTCCATTTTCTGGGGGGTTGGGTTGAGCTCCTCTCCTCTCTGCTAGTGCCCTTCTCCCTGTCCCCATCTCTCTATCTCTTCCTCTGACCACAGGCCCAGTCCCTGATGGCAGGAGTTGGAAGAGGAGGAGGGCTAGGTATAGGAGAGGTCACTCAATTCAGAGGACCAGGAACACCTGGCCTGCAGAGGTCAGAGAGGCAAAGGGACTCCCCCAAGGTCATGCACTTACACGATCAAATGATAATAATAGCTAACCCTTCTACTGAGGGCTCCCATGTGCCAGGTACTTCTATAAGCACTTCATAGGTATTAACTCATTTAATCCTTGTTACCCCTCGAGGCTTATTATCCCCAATTGAAAGATGAAGAAACGGAGGCACAGAAATCGTTGCCTGAAGCCACAGGGACAGTGGTCTGCACAGTTAGAACTCTAGCTCCACGCTCTCTTGTGATCAATCGTCACACCCTCTCTTAGATTTAGGGAGCCATCTCCTCCTTCCCCAACTCCTCCTCCCCGGGGCACCCACCTCTTCATAGTGGAACTTCGATTCGCATCCAAGCTCATGATTGCAAACACTCCAATCAGAAGGAGGCATGTACAAGGATTTGCCCAATCAGGAGCTAAGAATTTGGAAAGCAGGGGCCAATCAGAGAAGGGACTCAGAGGGGCAGTCCAATACTGAGTGTGGCTGGGGATTGTGGAAGGACCGATTAGAGAGAGCAGAATACACTATCCAATGAAAAGTCACCAAAATGGGGAATGTCTCGGGTTTGGGGTGACTCCCTCGAGAGGCGGGACAAACTGGGGATCCCCTCCTCTAGTTCCACCAACTTATCCTGCTCCCTAACTTTTGAATCCACACCCTAGACTTTCCTTGGGGACTTCTTCCTAACTTTGAATGTGAGCCCAGCTCAGGTTGGAGAGGCAGAGATTGGACTTGAGGACAGAGCTGAGGGTTGAGGACCCAGTCTAGGCATTAGGGACCAAGTGGAGGCTGAAAGCTAGTATGCTTTAGGGGCGGAGGCTAAACTGGAGGGGTGGGGCTTGGGCTGAGGGGTGGAGCTTAGGCTTGAAGGCGGGGCCTATGCCAAGGAAGTCTGAATATTATGTATTTTGGGGTGGTCTCTAAGATAGAGGAATGGGGACCGATCTGAGTGGGCGTGGCTTAGGTCAGATAAGGCTGGTGTTTTTGCTTTGGGGCGGAGCCTAAGAGACAGAGGGTGCAGCCTTGGTTTGGGCATGGGTCCTAAATCGTCCAAGAATGGGATTGGTCGTGGGTTTGTATTAGAAGGTTTGGGGCAGGAGCTAGGGCCCCAGGGACACGATTAACACTACTTCAACCTGCTGCCCTCTCTTTAAGGCCAACTCACACCGCCAACCTTATGGCCGTGGTCGCCAACCCCAGGCCTGTTAGGAACCAGGCTGCACAGCAGGAGGTGAGAGCAAAGCTTCATCTGTCCTTACAGCTGCTCCCCATCGCTCGCATCACCGCATAAGCTCTGCCTCCTGTCAGATCTACGGTGGCATTAGATTCGCATAGGAGCGCACTCAAGGGGTCTAGGTTGCCAGCTCCTTGCGAAAATCTAATGCCTGACGATTTGAGGTGGAGCTGAGACGGTGATGCCAGCGCTGGGGAGCGGCTGCAAATACAGATGATCATTAGCAGAGAGGTTGGACTGCACAATAAATGTAATGTGCTTGAATCATCCCGAAACCAACCCTCCCCCCTCACCCCTGTCCCTGGAAAAATTGTCTTCCATGAAACCGATCCCTGGTGCCAAAAAGGTTGGGGACTGCTGCCTCGTGGGACATTCTTCAGACACTGGGGTATACCCCTTTGTTCTAGTGACCGTGTGCTGGGAGGTCGTGTTTATTCCTTACTGCGGTCCCTGGAGGGAGTCTGGAGCAGGCCTAGCTCCCCACCCCTCTCCCAAGACATGTCCAGAGTTACTGAGTGTCAATCACTGAGAAAATCAGTGCCTGTGCCACTCTCTTCCTTGGGAAGCTTACATTTCAACAACTAGACAGTAAATAAATAAATTAGTAAACAATAGGTAAACAAATAAGTAAACAAATAAGATCCTTTCAGAGAGTGATAAGTGCTATGAGGACAAGAAATGAGGTGATGTGCTAGATAGAAATGGCACTAGCTGGTGGGGATATTTGTTGCCTTTTTAGTCTCTAGAAGAGTCCTGCTTCCCCTCCACCCAACATTTACTATGAAAAATTTCAAACTTGCAGCAAAGATGAAATAATTTTATGGTGAATGCCCATATGCCCGCCACCTAGATTCTACCACTGACATTTCACTGGACGTTCCTCATCACACATCCATCCATCTATCCATCCACCAGTCCATCTTATTTTTATGTATTTCAAAGAAACATAAGAACACTTGGAGGGGGCCCAGGTAGGGGTGATGTGTGCAAATTAGGGATGGAAAAGGAAAGTCTCTCTCTATCTCTTTTTCTTTTTTCTTTTTTTTTTGAGACAGTCTCACTCTCTTGCCAGGGCTAACATGCCATGTCATCAGCCTAGCTCACAGCAACCTCAACCCTCAACCTCCTGGGCTCAAGCGATCCTCCTGCCTCAGCCTCCCAAGTAGCTAGGACTACAGGTGTGTGCTACCACATCCACCTAATTTTTTCTATTTTTAGTAGAGAAGGGGTCTCACTCTTGCTCAGGCTGGTCTCAACTCCTGAAGCTCAAGAACTCCTGAAGCTCAAGCGATCCTCCTGCCTCGGCCTCCCAGAGTGCTAGGATTGCAGGCGTGAAGCCACCGCGTCCAGCCAGGAAGGTCTCTCTTAACTCATCTGAGTTAAGACCTGAATGAAAAGAAGGAACCAGCCATGGAAAGGGGCGAAGAGTGCAGAGGCCCAGGGCCTGCTATGACTGGTGTATTGGAGGAACAGAAAAGTCGTCATTGAAGCTGGAAGTCAGGGTGGTTGGGAACGAGGTCAGCAGGGGCCAGACAGAGCTCACAGGGCCAGACGGGCTCTATGATCGAGGCTGTCTTCTTTCTGTCTGGGTCTCATGAGCCCTGTTTCTCTATCTCTGTGTATCCCTGTCTCTCTTATTATTATCTTTTTTCTCACCCTCCCTTTTCCACTCCTGTCCAGCCCAGTCTTGCCCTCACCCTCTTTCCCCTTCATCTCCACCCTGTTCTGCCATGTACTATCTGTGTGATGTTGGGCAAGTGACCGAACCTCTCTCTGCCTCAATTTTTTTATTCCATAAAATGGGGACAGTAACGGGACCTCCTCATCTGGCTGTTGTGAAGACTGAATGAAGTATTATTTACATGTGAAGCCCCTAGAATCCTCCCCGGCACCCAGGACTGCTGGATATGTGTTCGCTTTTGTTGTTGTTATTGTTCCTACCCCCGGGCTCCAGTAGGGAGCACTAGAGCCATGGGAGGCGGGGATGCTGCCTGGCGGTGGCGGGGAAGGGTGGAGTCTGGAGACTGGAGGGCTTGTGAGTGTCCCCAGGGGCATCTAATGATTGTGAGTGGGGTTGAGGTTCACTAGAGGGAGAATCTGCAGAAGTGACTTGATCTAGGGGGTGGGGAGGGCTTCGTGCACAGAATTTAGAGAAGGGGTTTGGGGGAGGACCTCAATACAGGGGGATCCAAAATGGGAAGGGTTTGAGGCTCCAGGCATCTGGGGGACTGCATGCGACAAGGCAGATTTTTAGATGAGGACCTGCTGGGTTTGGGGGCCCTGTGAGCATCTGAGAAAGAGATGCAGAGTGGCCTGAGACACTCAGTGGGGTTTGAGGGAAGGGCTGGAGGGGGTCAGCTATGGGGTAGGGGTTGGGCAAAAGTCTCTGAACAAGGAAGGAGTAAGGCGTTCTGGGCTCCATGGAAGGCACTGGTAGGGGACAAGGGTCTGCAGGTTCCA